CCTCTGATTTGTTTATTGGTCCCTTTCTGGTTTAACAACTTGGCAAATACAAGGCATTTCTTTCTTTCTTTTTTTTTTTTTTTTATTGGTACCGGAGATCAAACTCCTGACCGCCTGCTTGCAAGGCAGGTGCTTATGCCCAAGGCATTTCTTTAATAAAAACCAAATCCCTTCCAAAAACTTTTAATTTGAATTTCTCTGCAGATGTTTGTTTTCACTTAGCTCTTCTTTATCAAACAGTCTGTCTTGACCCAGGCAGTAATGTTGGTCTTCCAGTCTCCAGTGACTCTACTCTGCCCCCAAGATTGGTCCAGAGAGTAAGTGAGCAGGGAAATGTGTGCGCTAAAGCTGCTGGAGGCCTGGGTAGGACTCAGTGAGGGTAAAGGGAGGTCCTTCTAGTCCTGACAGAGGAGCACAAAGGGCAGAGCTCTAGGGAGGAGGGTGCAGGTTGATGTGGCAAACAGAGGAAACGCAAGTGAACTGCACCCCTGAGCTGTTGGGCTGCGAATCAGACAGGAGCTAGGAGTGGGGGGAGATGACACTACACTCGGTGGCTACCACACACGATACTACATTTCTTCCAAAGTCAGAATTTCAGTTGGATCCATTTTAAACTTGTCTTGGTCAGTATGGTGAATAAGAAATAATAAAACCAGGTCATTGTAGGTTGATTTCCTATGGTGTCCACTTGTGGTTGACCTTTCCCTACTATCCTGGCTATCTGGCTAGGGTCAAGTATTCCTAATGTGGCCTGCAGGAGTTGGGCTATGGTCAGTCAACACCTGAAAACTTAATGAGGATTTAGACCTGGAAAGCCACCTCGTAATAATCCTTACTTCACATAGGAGAAAACTGAGATCCAGAGAAATTAATCTGTTGAGGTCTCACAGCTCGCAGCATTTTGAGAGGATGATGATTTTAAATGCTCTTCTAGAACATGCACAATAGAATTTATCTATAGAATCTTATGGCATAGAATTGAGATTATTATTTTCTGAAGTGCACTTGTTCTACTAAACATTATCTTTGTTGTATCCAACATGCACAACTGTTTTAACACAGCTTTTATGATAACTCTTTGTTATTAAAACACAATTGTTGGGCACAGTGGCCACACTTGCAATCCCAGCCCTCAGGAGGTTGAGGCAGGAGGATCACTACAAGTTCAAAGCCAGCCTGGGCTACAAAGTGAGTTAAAGGCCATCCTGGACCATATAGTGAAACCCTGTCTCCAAAAACAAAACAAAACCAAAAAAACCAAACCAAAACAAAACAAAACCAACAAAAAACAAAACAAAACAAAACAAAATCCACACAGTGAAACACACATTATTTTTGCTTTTCAACATTCTTTTCAGCTTTGGGGAGCATACTTATTTTTCTTTTGAGACAATAAGACAGTTATGAGAGGAAGAAGAGGAAAAAAGAAATGGGTTACATTGCATACAAATCAATTCTTAGGAAATATTTGTATCCAAACAAGCAAACTCTATGGGATTCAAATTACAAATTCATAATATCGCTGAACTGGTATTTACTGATAGAAATCCTCTGTAGCTTGCAGCTTAATTTGGGGAAAGTTTGCCACAGCTATCAGAGTGTATATTCTAACTTCAGTGGCATAAAACACTGAGATAGTCAACTTAGATTCTAAAAATAATACAGCGTGGGGAGTCCCAAACAGAGGGAGATACACCCTCCTCACCCAGAAACAAACTAAGCTGAGAGAAATCAATTAAAAATACAGTCCCAGTACTATGATTGGAACAGTTACAGTTTCGTGCTGCCGCTTGAACTCACTGCTGCTGCTGTGCTTCAATTGGTGCAGCTGGGATAGCCTGCCAGTTTCAACTCACTGGAGACATGAACGCACTGAGAGCAGGAGTTAGTGAACTGAATTGAGAGCAGAGCTGGTGGGGAACCCTGCATCGGCCTGCAGTGAATGAGGGGAATAAAAACCCTTCCATAGAGAAGGGGGGGGGCTCCAACAGATGACATTCTGAGACTGGGCAGACTGGCCAGAACAAAGGGCTGCAGTGACTTCAGTCAGCTATTCCCTTCTCAAACGGGATTGGTGGGGAGCACTTGACCTGGATGACGCCATGGACTGAGACCCAATAGGCGAGCCCAAACCAAGTCCCCATGCCTGGCAGTGCACCCTAACATAGTGAAGCCCTCAGCAGATTGACTGACCTGGAGGGGCGGGCCCAACATAAGCTGCCCAGGTCTGTATCTCCTAGTACACTGCAGACAAACTGAAACTAACAAAGAAAGAAACTGGGTCTCCTATATACGCCTGTATGGAAGGAACAAAAATATGATAAGAGGAGGCAACAAGAAAGAGTCCTCAGTCCCTATTCCTGAGAACACTGATCCAGGAAAGGTAAATGCAAAGTATAATGAGGACAGCAAACATGCAATATCAGACATGGCACCAATAGACATAAAGCGATATCTTTGGGACCTCATAGATGAGTTCAAAAGTGAAATATTTAACCAAGTAAAGCAAGATATAAATCGAATAATTAAAGAAATGTTAAGCACCTTCCAAGAAAAAACATATGGAAGAATGGAAGAACAAAAAAAGGGGGAGAATTGTTTGATAGAAAAAATAGAGAAAACATAGAATACATGAAACAGGTTCAAAGAGATTACCAAGAAACTAAAAACTCCCTTGAAAGCTGGCAAAACTGCTTGAAAGAAACTAAGGATAGATTATCTGAACTGGAGGACAGGTTTGCAATGTGGGAACATGAAAGGAAAAATTTCTTAAAAATAACAAGGAAACAGGGAGTAACAATACAAAGGCTAGAAGACGACAAGAGGATCTATAACTTAAGAATAAAGAATGTGAATGAAGAAGCAGGGGTACAAACAAAGGAACTGCAAAGGCTATTCACAGAAATAATTAAGGAAAACTTCCCAAACATAGGAAAAGATACTCAGATGTATGAGGCATACAGAACTCCGGCCACCTACAACCAAAACAGATGACACCCAGGCATATAATAATCAAGATCCCAGAAATCCAATATAAGAACAGAATATTAAAAGCTTTCAGAGACAGGAAACAGATCACTTACAAGGTAAAACCCATCAGAATTACCACAGACTTCTTGGCACAAACCATCAAATCAAGAAGAGCATGGAGCGAAATAATCCAAGCCTTGAAAGAAAATAACCTCCAGTCCAGATTGATGTATCTTGCACAAATGTCCCTAGAAATTAATGGAGAAACAAGATGCTTCCAAGATAAAGAGGAACTGGGGGAATTCGCAACCATAAATCCAACTCTACAGAGAATACTATAGGACATTCTAATGAGACAGAAAAGCACCAGGATTTCAGGAACAGTGGCAGAGAGGCCCCAACGAATGGAACAAAAAGGAAAATGAAGAAGACAAACTGACAACTAATTACAAAAATAGAGCACAACAGAAATGAGGCAGAGAAGGTTGGATATAATTTCTAATATAGATGGCCTACATATACTAACTTAAGGGAAAAAAGAGAGAATCGTAGGCAGAGTGGATCAAGAGGTAGGGTCCACTGAGATGCTCTTTATAGGAAATATAATTAACCTGAAGAAGGGTATATGGACCAAAATCAAATATGAGAAAACAGAACTAGATATGATAGGGAACCAGAGAGTAATAGGGGTAACTGGACCAGTATTTATGGATAGGTTGAAAAGACAGGCTTTAATAAGTGAAGAAATACAACTAGAGATCAAGTCCAGGAGTGAGAAAGTTCAGAAACACTTAGGTAAATAACAAATTGCCCCCCCCAATATAAAACAAAGAGTGTTGGGGAGACCCCAAAATACACAGTACATCCTTGGGGAATGAAAAGAGAGGAATAGTCTTTAAAAAGATAGCAGAAGATATTGCTAATAGTCTATCAGGAATTAAAACCCTTATTACTCGCACCACTCTGCTGGGATGGAACTTGTTCCATCCCAGTTTGTATACAAGCACTGGATCTGAGGGCACAGACAGCTGTCCTGAAGATATCAGGATATAGCACAGTGGTCATCTTTCATTTCCTATTAACTTAATCCGGATCCCTGTATGACTTATACTGTTGTACCATGACTGATCTTATTTAAATCTGACTTGTTTGATTGCTGCTTATTATTGACAGATTTTATTCAAAACTGTTAGGTTGATGGTATCAAGTTGAACAGTATAGACAACGATACTGAAAATGACAATGATTCACTAAGATACCCATTATGATTTGATTACTACCTATCTTTATAGCTCTACACTATCTACAAAGTTGTATTTCTGTTAATTCTGTTATGTACAGATATATTCAATTATACTTTATCTGATGATATAGCCAATGCTGTTGATGATAACTAGAGACAGCACAGTGACCATGATAGAACTCCTTATACAGCAGTTTTATATGTCTTTTTAGTTTTATGTGTCTATAGGAATATGTTTTGTTCTATCCTGCTTTGTTCTGTTTCTCCCTCTAATATAGAAAGGATAGAAATATATGTTAAGACTCATGCTTGTGTAAAACCTATAAACAGTTTATGAGAACTGACCTTATGACACATGATGAAATGAACAAAATACTTTGAAGAAAAAAAGAGGGGACTGCAGTACCCAGTGCTGATTCCAGAGTGTCATGATGTGAAATCCAGAAATAATATTAATCTTTGTTCAGAATGATTTTAATCTACTAAGTTTTGTTTGGTCTCAACATAAATGGAGATATGGATAAATGCGTACATGTTTAAGTATATAGGATTGATAGCCATATTACTTAGTTTTTGTTGGATAGTTGAACAGAACTGTTTGCAGTCTCCCTGGTTGAAATTCCATTTATATGTTCCACTTTTATATCTTGAACAATTATTTGTGGGGGGACAATATGATCAACTAGTGACTTATTACTGTTTCTTTTCTTTGAAAGTATGTATTATTTCTGCCCATTTTCTGTTTTGTTTTGTCTTTCTTTAAATAAAATAAAGAAAGTGCACTTACTGATTCAGGACAGGCGTGTAAGCAGTTTTATCTTCATCAATAATTGTCACCATCAGTGTGATAAGCTGAGGCCAGAAATCCAAGTTCTTGGTGGTCGGTCCCTGATCTTCCCGAGGGACATCCTGCTTCTTACTCTGCTCCCAAGGAATGCAACATGAAAGAGAAGAGGTCAAATAGGAGGACCTGAGTCTGCTGTCAAAGGCAAGTGAGGGGGAGGATCAGCAAAAGGGGATTATGGAAACAGTCACAGGAGAGAAAGCAGTTAAACTCAGGTTTCCTCTCATGAAAGGGCCCCTGTAGAGTAAGCACAAGGCAAGCCTATTTCAAATTACTCTTTGGTTTTTGGTTTAGCCCCTATTACTTACTTGATTTTAGAACAGAGATTTCCCTTCCCACTAGCTCCTATAATTTATGACTTTAGGAATAATTACTATGGAAATATTCCTTTAACATGGCTTCTCCCACAGACAAAGGTTGATTTTGTGTGTACAAATATGCATGAGCGTGTACATGTGTGTGTAATTTATTATGTCCAACTATTTTGCCCAAGTCACCCTGAAAGATCTAGAAAATCAGTGCTACAAAATTTTGTGATACTACACACCTCCTATATCGAATGCCTGGAACACCTATCTACAAATTTTTTCAGTTAACACAAATTTTGTAAATTGACCTTTTCCTTTTTTTTTTTTCTTCTTGTTCATATTAAGCATCTTTGACTCCTGAATCTCATTGTTTGAGCTCTTCAATTCTCATTTATAGAAAGAAGAATGGGGCCTGCAGTAACATGAATTTACTTTGATGTTAACAGAATAAAATAACAATATCAACCATTTCACAATAAAAATTTCATACTCAATGTATGTGTTTCCAAAATACAGATAAGTTATTCTGGTTGTTTATTTTGGTGGGTCTTCTTAAAGTATTTCTCTCACATTTATTTTTTTAAATTAGCCAAAAAAAAGACATGATTTCCATTCAACTATACAAATAAGTGGGAAGCATATGGCTTCTGGGTCAATTTTTGCAAAACTATCTAAAGGCTTATTGATTCAAGATATCTGAAGATGAAGATGATACAGGAAACGTGGGGACTCTGTTGTGAAACATGAGATTTGATGGCTCCATGGGTTGCTGTGTTTAATTGTCCTGTCTTCTGCTGTGACTGGGCGGTGGCTGCAGAGTTGTCCACACCAGTCTTCAAAGTGGATCAAGATGTGAGCCTGTATTTAGATGAATCACACTCTACTGTTGTTCTTACTGAAGTTAAAATACAGCCCACAGCACATTTGCTCATTATAAGGGACCTGTGCATAGAGACTGTCACTAACCTTCAGGGAAGGCTATTTCACCACACTTTTATCTTCAAAATGCAACAGATGTTAAAGCTTGTAGTGTTAAATCAAAATGGTTAAAGTTGGGTTATTTTAATTACTGTGAACAGCCTGAATGAGCTGATAGCCATCTTCAAAGAGCCTAAGGGCCTCACATATCCCAAGCCTGAGGGATATTGTGAACTCCTGATGGCCTCCCCAGAGCAGCTCTGGAGCTGCCTCACTGAAGGAAAGGCAGGCTCACAAACATCCAACCTGGACAACCTCTGAGTTAGAAGTTCACAGTGAAATTAACTCGTAATAAGCTCCATACTATGCCCTGTGACGTGTTTAACAATCAACCCTGGAGAGTTTTGAAGGCTGTAAATAAAATTGGTTCTGAGGGTCAGTACCATTGACCACCGTGATGGGAAGGCAGTCAAATGACATGTGTTACCTATTTCCAGTCATGGAATTAAGTGAAAGGAAGTTGCTATGAATGTAGTCTACCATTGTACCACTTAACATTGGTCTCCAAAGGGTACAGGAGACAGAACTGCATGTGCCTTCACCCCAAACCCTCAGGTGTCACAACACCTGCTGAGCTGTCCTTCTGCTGGGTCAATGCCAGAAGGCAACTGACATGTGGCTTTGGGCATCCAGTTCTGTATGCTGCATCAGAAGAAGCCAAAGCAGAAGCTGAGTCCTTCATTGATTCCTAGCAATGCTGTCAGCACCGAGCGGCTCTCCTACTTTATAGAATAGAATGCTTAGAAGATGGGCCACAGTCACGCATACTACATTATTAAGCCTGCTTCCTCCAGGTAAAACATATCTAAGTCTATTATACAACCTACAACCTTCTAAATATTTGGCTTTGTAACTGGAAAACTGGAGGAGATGAGTGGTAGACTACTAAATTACTAAATTAAGAAGGCTAATAATAATTGCACTCATATATGAAACCCTTGAGAGTTCCTCTTTATTGTAAGAAAATACAGCAATCATAAAGTCACTAATGAAATTACAATACATTTGAAAAGTAGGACTTAGTTGATCAATTGCAATTAGAATGATTAGTAATATTAGTGGCTAAAATTATTTTGTCACTGGATGGTTTTTGATTATTGAGATTTAATAGGAAGTGTGGGAGGATATAATATGGAGAGAGAGGTTGCCAGAGTATAGGATCAACTGAAGAAAGATTCCAATTTTCTTTTTTTTTTTTTAATCGGTACCCGGGATCGAACTCACGACCGCCTGCTTGCAAGGCAGGTGCTTATGCCACTGAGCTAAATCCCCAGCCCAAGAAAGCTTCCAATTTTCATGTTCAACAGGATACTTCACTACAGAAAAACATGCCTCACTTTCACAATATTAAGTAAGAAAATATTGGGTGGTATAGTGGCTGACAACTATAATCCTAGCACTTTGGGAGGCTGAGGCAAGAGGCTAGAGTATGAGCCGAGATTGGGCAACTAGTGACTAGTTGCCCTTAATATGGTAATAATAATAATAATAATAATAAATAATAAAGACTGGAAATGTGGGTTGCAGATCAATGCAAAGTCCCTGGATTCAATTCCCAATATAAAACAAGAGAAGAAATATAGCCTATTCCATCCTGAAAACATCAACATATAAAGAGAATCACTGTATGCAAGATAGAAAGCACTAGAATAACAGATGATGTCCCCATGGGGGTGGGACTTACAAAATGGTGTGAAAACTGGCACACACATTTGTGCTCAATGAGTGTGTACATGCAATCCTACATCTAACGGCTGCTCAGAGAGGATGAGAAGGACTGGGGTGGAGAAATCCCAAGGGGCGCAAAAGCATATGCCAGGTGTGGGCAGAGTCTGGGTGAAATGGCCTGTGACAGCATGTGTGTGTCTCCTATCAGTTCAATGGATGTGCATAACACACACACACACACACACACACACACACACACACACACTCAATACCTAAGGCAACACTGCTTAAATCAAGGTACAAGGGTTATTTCCAGACTTTTTTGGCCTTTAATATAAAACAGAGAGCTGCTCTGCCACAGGATAAAGTAGGGTCATCTGCAGGAAAACTGGTGCCTTTATTGCATGGTTCCCCTCATGAGAGAAACCCAAAGTAGAAGAGCTCAGGAGGCAGGAAGACAGGTCCTTCTGGACAAAGAAGGGGTCCAGGAGAAGCAGGAGAGGCAGCAGCAGAGGGAGAGGGGTGACAACAAGCTGACATCCACTGTTGAGGTAGCGTTGTTGACTGATGACCCAGGCAGTGCAGGGGACTGGGGGGAGTACTACAAATGTTTACTGCCACTGTCAAAGGTATTTTCTTTACCCACTCAATTCTGCTGGTATGTGAAGTCATGGAAACTCTGCCAGGAACAGGAGACTAGAAAGCTGGGCTGGGTGAAGCCAAGCCCCAGATTCTGTACTGGGCTGGACCTAGACCATCCACTTAGGTAGTGGCTCTAAGCACGCTGGTCATGCTGCAGCACTATCTCAGTGTACTTTGACCACAGATAAAAGAGGGGTGCCTCAGTCTTCCTGGGGGCACCAGGGCAAGCCAGCCTTCCCATTGCCCTGAAATACTGTGTCACTGGCTCTCAAAGTGCACTCACCATGTGCGTTGGGAAAATAGGGATCATACTTCCAAGGAGAGCATCTGTAGGAAATACTCTACCTGCTACTCATCAGAGGCTTCTTGTCTCCACCTGGACCACCTAACTCGGAATCCCTTGGACTGCTTGTTAGGGATCAGTTGTCCTCAGCCCTGCCACAGAGCTATTGAGACAAGGTACCTGGGATCGTGACCTGGGGATGTGGACCACTACATAGCATTAACTCTGTGAGACTGTCATTTATAAGAAGCCTGATATAGTTTCTCCTGGATGCCAATGTAAGTCACGGTTCTGCTAGGTTTTGCATTCCACAATGAAACGTTCCAGTTTTACTTTCCTTTTTGGCAGATTTCTGACTACACACATTTCTCCAATTTTGAGAGAGAGAAAGCCTTCATGAATATTTATACAGTATCCCTTCCAGCTGTCGACAGACTCTACTGCTAGATCCTTTCAGATAATATTATTTTGTAGAGTACAGCCACTATCAAATCACTGGTATTCTCAAATATTCCACTGTTGCTAATTGGTAACCAAAAATGAGCAACTAGACATCTTAAATAAAAGTAATTATTCAAAACTAAAACACTGATCCCCGGAGCCCAGCCTGTTTGGGACTCCTGCACCTAGCCATCGGTGTGCAGAGAAGGGGCTGAGTGGATCTGGGGTGCCTGCATCAGCCTCCCCGTGTGTCTGGAGGACTGTGGATATCTCAGTGAGCAGGGAAGGATCGCAGGATCCAGAGGCACTACGAACTGTGGTGAGTGCTCAGCACACTCTGTCCAAATCCCAGACTGTTCGGGACCCTCCAGGCTTCCAGGTGCAGTGAAGTGGAGAGGTGGGTTTGTGGCCTCTACATCCGCCTCCCCATCCCGGCTGCACTTGGAGAACTGCTGAGCTTCCAATGGGTGGGTGGGCCCACGCTGTCCCCGGAGCCCAGCCTGTTTGGGACTCCCGCACCTAGCCATCGGTGTGCAGAGGAGAGGCTGGGCAGATCTGGGGTGCCTGCATCAGCCTCCCCGTGTGTCTGGAGGACTGTGGATGCCTCAGCGGGCAGTGGAGCATTGCGGGTTCCAGAGGCCCTGCAGCCTGTGGTGAGTGCTCAGTGCACTCTGCCCAAAGCCCAGACTATTTGGGTCTCTCCAGGCTTCCGGGTGCAGTGAAGTGGAGAGGTGAGTTTGAGGCGTCTATATCCGCC